TCAGGATGTGAAGAATGAAAGAAACACAAGAAATAAGTATGGGGTAAATATAAAATACTGTTTTATGTCTTACAATTTTCAGTAAGTCCACTTTTAAGTCCTTCAGAGACCCCAAGCTGAGATGATTAAGGTGCCCTTGCCCAAACATAATTCACAATGAAGTCTAAAATAAATCAGACACATAAAGAAGGTAGTAAGTTCTGATTGATCCCATGGTGACTACTGCAATGTTTTTTAAAAAATATATGTAATTCTTAAAATTCCTCCCCCCCCCAACCCCTTAATTTTTGGTGGCTCTACTTGTGCCTAAACACATACTTGATCCCTAGGTTAGTTGGCACTGGCTGGCACCCAGCCAAGAGCATGGCTCAGAAAATGTAGGTACAAATGCATCAAGTAGTGAGAGAGGCCACGAGCAGTGAGGATGACCAACCTCCTGAGGTTTCCTGGATTGTGGGACTTTCAGTGCTGAAAATGGGACCGTTTTGGGTGTGAACTGTGATGACTGGTTACCCTAACGCGGACCCAGAAATGAGGTCTTGAGGAGAGAGCTGACCCTGAGATCAGCAGACAATATTTTGTGGGCAAGAAAGAAAAGAGACCGGAGCACTAGCTGGTTTGAGCGTTGGCCTGCGGACTGAAGGGTTGCAGGCTTGATCCCTGGTCCCAGAGGGGTGCGTGCAGGAGGCAACCAGTCAAGTGTCTCTCTCACATCAATGTTTCTCTCTCTCCCCCTTTCCCTTCCATTCTCTCTGAAAAGTCAATGGAACAAATATCCTTGGGTGATGATTAACAACAATAAAAACTAGACTTGTTCTTTAACTGAAGTGAAAATTCTTTCTCCCTCTCTCATATTTTTATCGTATGTTTAATAGGTCAAAGACAGTATGTTCCCGTGGGAGTCGGCACATTATGAAGGCGAAAACACAGGGCAGGAACATAAGTTCTGCTTGGCAGGTGAGGGATAACAGCTCCAAGTGGCTCACAGACCTCCCTTCCCAAGGGGCATGACTCACTGACACTTCACCCACTTGGCTGATAGGGGGAGAGGGAAAGGAAGCGGACAGTGTCTGTTTCTTTCCTCCAGGGTAATTCTCGCTATCAGGTAAGAGTTTTATTAGTCTGGTGTTATTTATAAGGATCCTCAGACTCGGAAACTTAGCTACTGCGTAGCAGATTAAGTATTTCACTCCCTGGATGTTTTGCTCACAAGCTTGTGCTTGCTGCTTGGACGTAGCCCTCAAGTAAATGCTGATGGGTATGTATGGGACATGCAAGGAAGATGCAGAGAGGAAAGAGGTGAGCTGATGACCACAACCAGACTAGGAACAAAGGCCACAAAAATGCAGAGTTCCTGGTTGGGGACTCAGAGAGGATGTACAAATTTGATAAAAACTGCGATGTGTGGGGACTTAGGTTGATCCATGTGCCAAATCAATGAGATGTCCTGGAAATGGTGCTGGTGAAGTTGAGGGAGAGAGAGAGAAGGAAAACCAGTAAAAGGACCAGACATCTAAAGGCTTCTCTTTAGGACTATACCCTCAGGCTCTTAGGGTACTTCTGCACTGACCCCATCTGTCATCAAAGTAGGCTCTGGGAACCAGAAACACCAATCAGAAAGGATATATGCACCCCTATGTTCATAGCAGCACAATTCACCATAGCTAAGATTTGGAAACAGCCTAAGTGCCCATCAGCAGATGAGTGGATTAGAAAACTGTGGTACATCTACACAATGGAA